TGAAGCAGATTCCTCACGAGTGCGATTACTGTAGCCACCAACAGTCACTGTAGCAGATTCCTCACAAGTGCGGTTACTATAGGCATCGACCATCACTGTAGCAGATTCCAAACATTTGAAGTCCGCAAAAGTCTATAAAAGGGAAGGACCTCAACCTATTGAGGCATCCTGTAGTTTCCTTAGCCTCTTTGCTCTCTATCCTGCTTTTTGCTTTCTGCTCTCTGTCCTTCTTTCTGCTCTCTGCTCTCTGTTCTGGTCTATGCTCTCTGCTCTCTATTCTACTCTCTGCTTTCTGTTCTCTATTATGCTCTCTGCTCTCTGTGTAAGATTCTTTGTAATCTCTCTGTATATTTGGTGGCGTATCACACCATTTAACTTAGTAAAAGTGTGCTATGTGTGATTGTTTTTGGGACGAGGTTCCTACTCATATTCCAGAACAGTTAAAGCTCTTTACCAGTCTTTGTATTTGCACAATGTGAGTATGATTCCTGTCTAAATCCATTATGTTATCATTTTGACTGTTACTGTATTTGTTATTGTTTACTGTATTGTTTGTCTATGATCTAGTATAAGGTTATTGTTTCCGCATATGGTATCAGAGCTAAGTTACATATACAGTGGTATAACTGTAATGCTAGGAGAAAACTGAACCATTATATAGAATTCTAAGAACAACTTGCCGTAGTAAGTTCAAAGTCGTTGTGACCCAAAGATCACTAAAGGCCAGAAAGAGCCGCAAAAGTGTAGGGACTGTTTCCGATTGACTCGAATTATGATGGCAAACTTTATTAGAACTCTATCTACTAAGACAACTACTACTAGTAAGACACTACGTGTAAACAACCGTGAAGAAATAATAATAGATAACATACAAAAACAAATTCAAAACTAGAACATACCAAATGTACCTGTTTCAGATATATATAGTAAAGGTACTTTTGATTTTAAGACTAGTTTTTCTATTAAAACTATAGAACAAAGTATTTCTGTAATGGAAACCCAGGATAAATTCCAACTACTTTCTCCAATGATGATTGAAGATCATAAGAGAGAGGAATATAAATATTTACATATTGGTCTTCTCCAAATAGCTGTAAAACCTTTAACTAGAACATGGGCAAACAATTCTGTCCTACTCTATTTAAGGGACAGTAGACATAAGCGATTCACTGATTCATTGCTTGGAATAGTGGAATCGAGTCTCTGTAATGGGCCTATTTACTTTAACTGTTTTCCAAACTTTTCAGTGGCCCTAACAGATCCAAATCTCTTAAAGGTCTTAAACCCTAAACCTTCAAACTCAAGATTTTCACATGGACCCAGGTTCACAAAACTTAGCTTTTATTTATCGAATATGTTACAAGGTAATGAATACCTTATGTCCAAATGCAAGACAAATGGACTCTAAAGGTCAAACAACAGTTTTCCAAACAAACATGGAAAAATCAAACCTTGTGATACCCAAATCTATTGCATGGTCACAAGTAAAATTACCTGAAAGATGGTCTTTGCAATCAGAAGCTCAAATTAAACCTCCAGAAAACAAAGATCCTGAACAAATAATTGAATATTCTGATGCGGAACTAGAAATTAGATTTCAATCCTCTAGGAAAACCACACTAAGAATAGTTGAATTCAATCTCAGGGATCCTCCAAGAAGTTCGACTTCTTCAATCGCACAATCAGAACGTGAAAGATTATCTTCTCACAGACGGACTGTCATAGAAAGATTAAATAGAACCTCTAACCAGGTTCAACAACCAGTATACAGGGTTGAAACCCCCAGGTGCTTCTGAAATAGAAAAACACGAACCAACTCCCTCAGATCTAGATTTTGATGTCAATGTAATTCAAAAAGGAAAATTTGTAATTGACAAAGAATGGATTAAAAAGGACTTTTATTCTGAAGAAAATAGGTTAATAAGGGAATGGTTTTTCAAAGAATTCAAAGAGCCTCTAAGAGATGCCTTTCACTTCAAATTCAACAGGTTTATGATAAAACATAAGAAAATCGTCAAATTCTTCAAATGGTTAAAATATATAACAAAGGATTATAATATTAAAATCCCAAAGTTCGAGGTAAATGTGGTAGAAAATTCTTTCCAAACTTTTCAAACCTCTAAAGGTGAGATAATTGAGTCTATACATCCTCCTGATGTCAGTATCAGATGCACTGCGAAAAAGTTAGGAGAAAAGGTTGAGATTAGGGCGTCGCCCCTAAAACTAGGACCCAAAGAAAGTGATCAAAGCAATTATACAAACACTTTTCTCCAAATAATAGGCAGACAAACCACCCGAATAGAAAATGGCATAAGCAAATTGAACCAATTCCTAAACCCAGAAGCTTAGAAAAGAAAAAAGAAACCGTACTATTCAAACCTCCTCCAACTATTGAAACAGGAAAATTTAGCTTGCAAGGAATAAGGAAGAAAGAGGAGAATAGTGAATTAATTGATGAATTGGTCAAAAGATTGAAAAAATTGAATATTAATGACAAGGCTCAAATCTCTAAGACCCAAAAGGGAGATGTGCAGGTTCTGGAAAAGGCACCAGATGAAGAGATTGAAGAAATGGAAAAAGCTTTTAAAACTAAAAGCTTAGAAATAAATAGGATTGATTATGGAAAAAAGGTAAGATCGGTATCCCAAACTCGAATGTACTATCATAGACCTACCCCAGTAGATCTACAGATAGAAGAAAATTTAATATCACTCTCAATTTCTTACTCAGGAAAATCCATAGTAAACTAGAATATTGATGGCATGGCAGAAAACCAAATCCTAGATCTCATGAAACACATGATTATGTACGCCACCGCTTGCAAAGCAAGTGGAAATCAAGATCACGAGATAGCCAAAGCAATAATTTGTGGATTCACTGACTGGCTAAGAGGTAGGTGAGACTTTCGTGTGGATGAAGATTCCAAAAATCAAATATTAAATGCTACAAAACAATGGATAGTCAAACAAGAAGATGACCAAGAAAATATAGTGCATGAAGGGGATGCAGTTAACCGACAAAATAATATCACCATCACCAACAAACTCAAGGTTTTGAAAACGTTTTGGTCAATTTATTTCATGTAAAATATTTTTACATTGTCCAAAACGTTTTTTATACCATATTTTACAAATATTTTACCATTTGTAAAATGTGGTATAGAAAATGTTTTGGTTAATTTATTTCATGTAAAATATTTTTTTTTGATATTTTTTAAAGATTCACTTATTTTTGATAAACACACGCCTAAAATTTCAAGTGATTTAGATTTGTAAAAAAAAAACTAACATTCAAACACTACTGGATATCCATGATTGTCAGATTGGCCCATAATCAATCTGGGACGTTGGGCTTATACGTTCATATGAG